ATATATGCTTTGATCAATAATGCTTCCTAATTGAACTACACTTTAATATTTCAAAGTCTGACGAAGCAGGAAAGTCTCTGAAACGTTTTTAAAAAGGAGCGGGATCAATAAATGAAACGCGCTCCTGTGACGAGGCCCTTCCTCCCCAGACACTGCCTCGCCTGTTCGTCAGCACCTTTGAGAATCACTAGCGAGGTCAACCCCCTCTTTAAAAACACTTCGATTGCTCGTGAGGACAATGTGTCCTTCCTGAAAGTGAATGGACTGTGCTTTATAAATTGGGGTGTGCGAGTGCACAGGACACAATCATCAAACACCACAAGCTGTAACAGCACAAACATTCTTGGCACACACACACACAAAGAGAGAGAGGCCTGTGACTTCCTCCACTACATCAGAACCATCTATTTCACAATCAGTGATAAACTGCCTTGTAAATTGAGGTGCTTGTAGTTCCCAACAGTAAATTTGCAATTCCTGTGCTGAGGTAACAAATAAAGCTCCAAATGAAAGGGGTGAATAAGAGGTCAGCCGTCTCCTGTCTGCAGCACACACACTGCTTTGTGGTAAAAGACGGTCCAGATGTGGCGGGCTAAGCTAATTTCCCAACATCTCAGAGAGGGATCAGAAACCCTGACGCTGCTCAGCGGGGTTTTACCGTCAAAAGCACGTAAAGGCACCGACACAAAGCCGGGTGTTCACCTGTCTTTACTTACAGCTAGGCAACATTTTATGCGATTATCTGTAACTATACGAATCATAAAACCCAAGAATCTATACCATCAAGAAGGTCAAATTGAACCCCCCCCCCCAATGAGGCAAGAGTGCACGAACCTGAGCCATCCTAAAGAGAAACAAATGAGAGCGCTTAGCTATGTATACAAAAGCCGAGAACCAAGGCCAAAACATTTGACCTCTTTTCCACTCCTCTCTACAGAAGCAATGAGGCAAGACGGGCCGCTAAACAGCTAACAGACACATCTCGGATGTTTTTAGAAACCACTCATCCATCCAAGATATCTGGAGGCCGATTGAGCGCGTTGAAACCGTTCCAGGATTGTCACGTGTGAGCCAAAACATGTCACATCGTCCTCCTCCTACGGACTCCTCGGAGCAGCGCGATGACGGTGATTCCGCCTTGTCGTGTCCAAACTGTGTTTGTGACGCACAGCGGAGATCTGCATTTGTGGACATGTTGATTTAGGTTAATGATCCTGCTGGTAATGAGACACAAAACATTGCACGCCGGTGGGGGCGAGGTAAGCGTACAAACAGCTCTGAAACGGACGCCACCCTGGAACAAAACACAAGGTGTGCGGGTTGCAATCAGAGGGGAAAGAGACGTTTAGCAGCCTGCGACGGCATGTACTAAACAAACCAAAGCAAATTCCATGCAGTTTCTTCCCCTTTTTCTTTGGCTCGTGGATGAGCAGCTATAGTGAATAACCCTCAGTAGGCAAAAAAATAAAGGGGGGGGGGTATTCCCTCCCTCCCTCCGGCATGCATCTGTAATACGCTGTGCACAAGGCGGGCAGGAAGTTCACAGCTAAGAGTGAAAGAGATGTTATCTTGTGGCAAGACGTTGCTCTGTTTCCATGAAGTCATCACAGGCCCCCCGAGTAGAGTGGCTTGCTGCAACAAAAGGGCTACTGTTTGACTGGCACAATGTGCCGCTCTGCTCGGCAGCTTGGCCACACATGCAAATGACAGGCCGGGAGGGAAAGGTGTGGCGATGCCAGGTGGTCCGGGCCCCAACACGAAAACACTTATTGATCACCAGCTCAGTGTAAGGGGGGGGGGGGAGAGAGAACTGCTGTGTGAGCTGCTGCTCAAGAGAGGCTTTATCCTCACCTGAAAGCCACCTGCTTCAAAAGTAACTTAACTTGCACTGATACCATTAGGACAGTAGAGGTTTACTTCTTTTGCGATCTTTATCACTGGAAACATGTTAATTGACTCGCCTTCTCTCTGTTATCTCGTAATTTGAAACGGAAACTATACGCCATGTGTAGGGAACAACTGTTGAAAGTGAAAACAGGTTATTCAAGAGGATCCGTTTCATTCTCACAGCCACTTCCTCTTCCACTCCAGTGGCCTGCCTGCTCTGCACTTCCTGATCCCCATGCATGACAGCCAGGGATGTCACATCACCGTGTCAACACCTTGGAGGTGGAGGTGGAGGTGAAGGGGGGGGCCTTTCATGATGCCAATTGCAGTTTCAAACGAGACCTGACAGGAGGCGACCTCAGGGGACGAGCTGAATTTAAATAAGTCGGATGAATTAATTGATCTTAATAAGCTCCAGATGTGTCTCTAACTTTAACCGTTGTGATATGCAAGGAATGATTTAAACACAGGCGTGTGCATCAATCAATGTGCCACCAACATGTCCGACTGTGTATAAGAGGGAACAGGGTTCTTTTACGCGCAAGATTCGCAGCAGCCTGAAATATAACGGCAGCAGTTGGATTTCCTGGCCAAACGAAATCGATACGCGCCGCGTGATATACGCAGCAGCTTTGACCCAAAATGAGGATGAATCAGCCAACAGAGGGCTACTACTCACCGTTCGGTCCGTATCTCTCCACGTTGACTTTGGCTTGCTCCAGAGTCAGCCCGGTGTTTTCGTTCACGCCGAAGTTGTCTAAAACTTCGGTCGCCGATTTAGTGTGCGCGTTTTCCATCTTGGCGGACTGGGCTTAGATGATCGACATCTACTGTGGAGGGTGGGTTGGGGTGAAACGGCAGTAATTTCCACCGATGCACGTCGAGGCGGCTGAGAGTGTCTGTCGGTCCGCTCCGTCACCTGTTCCCCCACCTGAAGAAAAAACACTCCGGATCCGCGGCGCAGACGCTGTTGTCGCTCTGTGGCTCGGCTGCTGCTGCTGCTGCTGCTGCTGCTACTTCATCTCCATCTGAAGGTGTGCGCTGACTGCGCCGGGGCGGACCGCCTCTTCGCTGTTGAGAACCCCCCGCGCTCCCATTGGCTGCGCCGTACCTGTGCCTCGTGCGGCCACTTCAAACAACTGCCTTTTTAAACCACTGGTTTACGCGGCTCCGTCGTGTTTGTGCTGTCACGTGACGTCGTTTTATTTGCTCCCTGTGGAGAAAAAATATCTCCTCGGTTGTAGACGTCAACTCATCCGCGCCCCTGGAGCTGAAAGGGGTCGGGGGGACGACGACGAAGACAAAGTGCCCTGCTCAAGGACACTGTTAACACAATGGGTGTCAAGCACCCAGACTACTGCTGTTGATGTGAGAGCGGTGCAGCGACAGGATAGTTTGAGTGTGAGTTTGGGAAGCAGCCCTGCGGCCAGCTGCCAGAGGATTGGCTTAAATCAATTAGGCCAGTTTCAGTTGTGCTCTCAGACTACAGACCGAATAAGACTGACTTATTTTAAGCTTACAGAGACAGTAATCAGTCGTCCTTAGAGCTGACAAAAACTGAGTGAAAGCACTGGGTTTTATTGGCGCTTTGTTGTAGAATTTGCAAAGAAAATGTTTTCCTTAAGATGGCCTGTGATCACTGCAATGTATGTATTTTTGAATTTATGTGATTCGCACATCACCAAATTTGTCCATGCATCGTTTAGCCGTGCGCTCAAGAGATAAGAGTAATAGCTTACTTGGGATGTTTGAAAATAAAAATAAGTTCCTGAAATGTACCTGAGATAGTTTTATTACTTATGCTTTTATTTGACTCATTTACATGGATGCAACGCTTTTACGAACAGGAAAATAGAATGAATACAATGAGCATACGTGTAAAAACAAAATAAATGTAAGGCAAACACGCTCAGACGGTGATGTTGTTCTGTCGCTGGTGGAATGAGCTGCACGATAGCAGCCAAACAGAATGTATCAAACTCTGACAGCTGGGTTCTCCGTCCTTGCAGTCTTGCCCAGACTTTTCTCTCAAGGAGACGTGAACACCCTTCTCGGGTCCATCGTGGGCCATCCTGGTATTGAGAGACAGCCTCCGAGTCCAAAGAACCAAGGTTGGATACCACTGCTTTAGAGGATGTCGAGCCTGAACCCAGGAAGTCCAGTGACTTTACACTACAGCTTACATCAAGACCCAGGAAGTGATTGTTAACTGTAGGAATTACAGGTACGTTCACATGTGTACGGTTATGTGTGTAACATATTAAAACAAGCTAAAATATTGTCATTACTTCATGGTTTACATCCAAAAAATACTTCCATTACAATTAAATGTCCTGAATTAAAAAGTGTCCTCATAGTGAGTATAACTACAGACAGTATAAGAAGTACTTAACGTATCAAAAGTAAAAATATATACTCGAAAATGGAAGCTGTGGTGATTATTAAAAATATTGCCAATGCATAAGTGGTAGAAGTAGTAGCAGTAGTAGTAGTAACTTGAACTTGCTTTTTTTAAAGGGGATTTAAAATTGTATTTTATAAATTTACCATATCTTTACTGTAAATTCTTAACCTGAAAAGAACCTAAATACAGCAGTCAGATCAATGTACTGGAGTAGCATGAAATTGAAATACTCAACTAAGGTAGAATTAGCAAAAAAATGTACATCAGTGTAGTACTTGAGTAAATTAATTGATTTCCACTGGAAATATGTTATTTTAAATGGAAAACATAAACATTCATCCGTGGCCAAGTACTGGCATAAAAAATAGAAAATGGCTACAGACAACACATTTCAGCAACATTGGTGTATTCTAATACCAAATTTGTGTTTGGAGTGTGTTCCTTTTTAAAATGGCTTCTGTCCCCCCCCCCCCCCCCCCAGGAGCTCCATGGGACAGTAAAATAGCTCAGTCATCACATAGATGCACAATACTCTCTCTGCACCTCCTGGTCATCGATACAAACTCAACAGCTTTCAGAGTGACACCAGTCGCATTCAACTGCCCAAGGCTGTTTCACATTTGAATCCCTTCAACTTCCTGGAAAACTGTCACTGCACGGAAAACGGTAAAGGTGACCTCATGCGACATGAACGGTAGGTGTGCACCTAAACTTCCAACCAATAAATCCGTCACACATTTGTGATCCCGCCCTCTGCGCCTACGATCCAATTAAACTCCTTCTCTCCCTCTGTCTAATATCCTATTGGTTTAAACTTTTGAACGATACTTTACTTTGTGTATTGGCTGCTTGTGTAGCTGCACCCTCATAACATGATGGTTCCCAAAGCCTGCCTCAAAGTATTATAGAGCTGTATTGTTCATTTATTAAACTATTTAGAATGCTCTATGCGTGTGGAGCCCCATGTGGAGTTGGCTCTCAGGGGGGAAATCAGCAGTTCAAGTGATAGTAGTCTAATGCATTTACTCAGTCATCCTTGACTTGGAACAAACTGAAAGCAAGTAGGGAACCAGTTTTCCAGATTTCTCTTCCGTCGCTTTATCCTGAGTGTGAGGTTACTGCGGCACAATCTCCCCACAGTGTGCACGCGCTGAAATGGGTCTACTGTTGGAGATCACGGGCGCTGGACTGGGACCTCGTTGGTGCACAAAATATAAAAGGAACAAGGTGCTCCAATTCTGTCCTCGCTCACAGCTGGCCTCTTCTCTCACAGTGAAGAAGAAAAAAAGTATATTTATATCTGGAGCTTACATAACTTCCAGAACTGCAGTCTGGAGGATGGTAGCTGGCTACATGAAGTACTTGGATGCTAAATGCCCACAAGTCACTTGCTCTGGAGGTTCTGTCTTCGCCTATGCGTCAATATTCAGATCCAAAAGATTTCTCTAGTTTGTAAAAATGTGACCTCACAGCAGCTATTCGTGTCCCAGCAGCAGACACTCACACTCACTAGGCTACAACCACAGGTTCCACCGATTCTCCTCGCTGCCCACGGTCAGTGACATTGTCGTCTTCAGTGTCTGTTCATGGTTTGGAAGCCCTCTCGCCAGCCCCTCAGTCGCGGTGACATACATTTTTGAGAGAACCCCTTCAATGCCAAAGCTCACATGAAAAAAGGAAATCCCCACCCCGACCCCCCACCCCTCTATGGCTCACTCCTTCTTTCCCCTCAGTGGCACACACTGGGGGACTGTGCTGGTCTCAGCGCCAGTCGCACAACATTTTCCACACCGAGCTGTCAGCCTACCAATAGCATTTGCCTTCCCCCCTTTTTTGCTCGCAGCTCTCATTTGCATGAGGGAAATGAGCCGTGGGCTTCCAAGCATGATAACAAAACAAAAAAAAGACATTTCCCTCCACATTGCACGTGATGCGTCACAAACCTACTGCACCTCCATCGAAGACAAGACGTGATATTCTCTGCACACCTGTTTTTTTTTACATTTGATATGAAAGCAAGATTATTCAATGTTCTTTCTTCGGAGCTCGGTGCATTTAAAATCTCTCCGCTGCCTGTACAGGAGGCTGGAGTTTTGGGGACAAACAGCTGCTGCTGCCATTGACTTTGAATCAAGGAGACGCGAGTCGAAAAAAACAAAACACAGTCTGGAGCAACTGTACCTGACAAGCAGCCCAAGTGGCAAGTAAACCCCACCCAGTCGCCTGGCCATTAATAAACCCCTTTTCCACCTTTTCTCCGTCCCCTCTTCCCTTGTTCGGGGGCTCTGCACATCATTTCACAGTCTGGCGCAGCAGGATGCCACGCAGCCTGTCAGCCCCGGGAAGGGAAGGCAAATGTTTTATGTCAGGGGACAACTGTCTGCTGTCTCAATACCAACTCAATATTTTAAATGCAGTTCTCAGATAGTGCTAGAAATAGCAGTAAAACGCGTTCGCTGTCCGGTATTAAAGAGGTATACCTTTTTAAGCATCAGAGATAATTAGAACAGTACATCTGTGTAATTTCCCCCATTTGAGATGCAGTGAAAGCTGGAGAAGTTTAGCCTTCATTCTTAGTACTGCCCTTGCAGGAAGCCGGAGAAAAATCTGACCTTGTGATCATCCGTGTGCTGCAGAAGACAGTAGAGAGAGTTTTATGCAGTTAAGGAGGTACTTTAATTACCTCAATGTCACACAAAGAATGTGATCAAACACCTTTAATTAGACACAATTGACAAGGCAAGTTGCCTCATTACTTGCAGCGGTGTGAAAAGAGACGCCAGGAGCAGTCGGAGTGTGTTGCGCTGACAATACAGAGCTACAGTACTTCTAACCTTTCCATTTTCTTTTCGTGGATGTCTGCTTTCCATCGTAACGAGTGCCAGTCAGGAAGCTTAAGGCTCCATTTTGAGGATGTTTTCCGAGTGGGTGCTCCTCGTTTGCACCCAGCTCATTGGTCAGTGGTAGCTAATGATTTTTGTTTCTGGTCGGAACTAAAGTTTGTTTAGAAGGGAACTCCACCGATTTTACAAGTCAAAGGCTGTTTACAGGTGGAGGACTATTACTGTCTACTACTAACTACTATTATTATGTGAAAAGATGTGACAACTAGGCTACAAGTTTAAAAATGAAAAAATCCGGAGGTGTGGAGTTATGCTGTGTTCACACAAAGAGTGACAAGAGCAACAAAACAGACAAGAGTTGCTTGTCGGCGAGTAGACGTTGAAGTGTTGATCAAGCGCTCTTTGACTTAGTTATGACGTTAAATATTACTGGGAACTAGCTAATGACATCTTCTTTAGATGGAACGGAACAGGGTGAAACAACGCTGGTTGGCGCTTCGTCTCGTCATTGGAGACCAGCTCAACTTACACAGCGACAAGTGTGACAGCAGCATATGAAAGTTAGTGAGCTCATCAGACC